TGTTGGTGCCATTTTCTATGGAGTAATTTATGCTCATGTTTAGTTATTATTTTGGATGATTTTGGTTCTATGTTTTCATAGAATATTTATGATAGCAGTTTACTAAGTTATTGTTTTGCTAATTATAATTGATTTTAGTTTAATCTGAATTTATTTTAATGTTTAAAATGATCTTCACTAAACAGCCAATAGAAACTGACGCCGAGCGATAACGTTCGGAGCTCGCGCTTTGTTGAATGTAAACTGACGTTTTTTGTCTGTTTAGAATGTTCAGTAAAGACGGGGTGAATACACCGTTTTCTACCGTCGTTAAAACCTTAATACGCGTAGACTCGTTCTTCCCGTCTGAAAGAGTGGTTATTTGCATTCGTCAAAGAGAAGAAAGTCAAGAAAGGACATTTAGCCACTACAGTGCCCATTTAGACATTTTCCGGAAGTGATGGCTAACAAGGCACCTTACAACTTTCTGTGGTCACGTGCTGTAACTACACCCCTGAATCAGAACACTGAAAACTTTTAGAATTTAGGCTGTGACAGAATAAGACTATCTAAATATTACACTATTCCATGTCAAATAGATAAATGTGGTTATTTGGCTGCAATTTATTTAATCTGAACCTAATCATAAATCAAACCAAATTACACTACACTCCTGGTTTTTTTTCAAAATAAATTACGTCTAGAACTTTTGAAAAGAGTAATTTCTTAAGAGTAAATTCTGATGGTAAAGCTTCAGCTCAGCTGGTTTGAAGTTTCCGTTTAGGCCCAGATGCTGGAACAAAAGAGAAAAAACAACTTTATATTCACTCAAAAAAATTTTTTGCAAATTGTTGCTTTTGCACATGTTCATTCCTACCTTTTTAAACTGGTAAACTTGATGAACAGCAGCTTCTTCTGTTCCTGGTGAACGAGTGGGAGGATGTTCAGGTTAGTGTGCATCACAATTTAAACCCAAAAAAGGAGCCGACTGTGCAGGTGTGGAACAAACCTGGTTACCTGTGCAGCTCTGTAGCTAACAGGACAGGAAACCTGGCCTCAGGTGTGGGACCCAGCCCTCAGTCTGGACCCGGCCTGTAGGACCTCTGGACAGCAGCTTTTAGTCAGACTCACCTGAACACGCGAGACAAACGCAGCTCACGCGCCCCCAAACGTCCTTATTCCCTCCGCCAGCCACGTTCCCGCCCACTAATCTGCTCACCTGCTCTGCAGACACACCTGGAGCCCATCAGCCGCTGATTGCAGGCCGGCTGCTGCCCCCTGGCGGCCAGAGGAGGAACCGCACCCAGAAAACAAACATTACAAACACTGAATAAATAATGATGCCAATCACACAATAACCTCTGTGGCATTAAAACATGATGACCTTAATCTTGTCATTTATTCTCCCCATATTTAACAACAACTTTAATCTTTATTTATACTCTGTAGCATGTAGGAAACCTGTGGAGCTCAAATGATTTATGTTCTATCCAATTTGGAAGCTTTTCCTCATTTAAACCAGAAACCGTTACAAACAATGTTCCTGCTAACTACTCTGTTTTTCCAGCTGACTCTTTACTGCCTTTACTACACCTAATGAGAGAGAGTTGATTTTGAAATGTCTGAAATCTCATAAAATTAGGTTTAATGATGATTTGTTGTGTGTCAATCATCCTGATCACCTTTAGAAAATGACTAAGATTAACATATGTAAACAATTAGATTGAAACAATGAAAAAAGACGGAAAATTATGGTGATTTAGCACTTTGGATGTTGGCGGAAATTTGGAAGCTTTTGTTTTAGCAGCAACCGGAAGCTGTGCCTAACAGCGTATCTGCTAACTTTACACTCCTTAACCTGACTCTACACTTCCCTCTGGTGGATACACACTGTAACTACATCATCTCAAATTATAGCAAGTGAAGAAACACAGGAGTCACATTAACAGGTTTTAGCACGTTTACTATTTATTTTTTTTAGCACTCTGCGAATTTTATCATGACTTTACATTGACTATACATTATTCTGTATAGACAGAAAACAAAGCACAACAGAGGAGAGATCA